GGCCAACAGGCTGTAGAGGCACGCCCTGGGGTTGAGGAACTGTGGTGACTGTTGTGGTGGTTATCGTTGAAGGAGCCCCTGTGGTAACTGCTCCTCGTCGATTCTTTTTAGTGCAGTACACTATGATGACGATGACAGCAACGATGACTGCGATGCCAATGATGATTCCAATGATTACACCGACTGAACCTGAAATAAATGTGCACTGTTTACATCGACGAATACGATAAACATTTATTCAGAGAATAATATATAGTCGTTTGGATATTTTGGCCGTGAAATGGATCTAAGGCGAGTCTCAGAGAGGAAACAAAAGAAATAGCTCTTGCTTCCGCAAAGCCTCGTCTTCAAATCACTTGTGCGAGATCACTCAACAATTAAAAATGTCGGTTTGCTATTACGCCGAAAACTGAAATAGAAACTTTTAAGTTTAAAAATACTTACCACTGCCTTCACTCTCGGTAGTATACCTTAACTTAAACCCTTTGGAATTGAATGATGAGTCGGATACAAAGCGTAACCAAAGGTGCCGTCCGGATGAATGGATAGTAGTCCCGTTAACAGTTTCACAGTAGTCGCCCATTCTCGTGCTCGTTGAATAGTACCCGTCACGAATTCGAAGGTAGGTATCTTTGCAGAATGGACTACTCCGAATGTTCATGTATTCAAAGTAGAGTTTGATCTTCTTTTCTTTTTGTACCTCGATTTTCCATGTGCACCGTATCGCATTTGGGTAGTCAGACGGGTATTCAGGACTGTAGATGTAGCCACTTGACGAGGTAAGTAAGATATTGTTGTTATCTGTGTAAAGGTTGTCGAGGGTGCATTTGCTGTAGGAGGTAGCTGTTAAACAAAAAATACACCCGAATTGTTGAATGAAAGAGGCTGCAATGTATTCGGGACTACGGCTTTTGTTTCGGCACAGGGGGGGTGGGGCGATAAGGCCCCTTTTCGGAGCTCCAAGTCTGGGATAGGGTATCTAAGATTGGGATGACAAACGCTAGTTTCGGGATCATTGTTTAATGTGGGATCAGGTTCATAACAAATAAATGGAAACACTCAAATTGGAAGATCAGGAATCACAATTTTGTCCAAAAAACGGATCAATATAAAAGAAATTAACCCTGGACAGATTGAAACACCACTCCCACCCCCTTCCAGGTTTACACTCCGAAGGTCAGGTCTGTGTATAGTAGCGCGGCTACACCGATGGCTCCAATATTTGTATTACCTTGTGTATATGGGGATACAGCTGTATACTCAATAGTAAATCCTTGGTAATTAGTTTCATGATTGCTTCTGAACTTCAAATAAAGATATATTCCTTTGGAGATRATGACAGGAGGTTTTTSCGTCCCGCAGTATTTACCAATTCTTGAACTGGACTCATCCCAACCATCGTATRCTGAGACGTAGTCGTTTTSGCAGTACRTTGMAKACTCTAAATTGAAGCTTGTGAAAGTTAACTTGACAACSCTATTAAAGGGTGCTGTTATTCTCAGGAAGCACATATCATTAGCTTGGTAGTAGTTATATGGAGTATAACTTCTATAGACTGAAACGTCTGCATTTCGTTGAATCAATTTGCCATCGCATCCTGAACGGCAAAAAAAGAAGTTAGTGGTCAGCTAGTGGATAAGCGCAGATTGCGTATAGGACGCTAAGCCCAGTTATTAAAATATATACGGCATTTATTATATAGATGATTTCTAACACGCGCTCTGATTGGCCAAAAAAAGTGTGGTTTATGAGAGTATAAACCACGATTGTGCGCGAGCGATTTTCGAAAACGCGAACATAATGGATTTTTGCGTAAGTTTTGCTCAATCTATATATAAAACAAATAAATAAGTCTCAGCCTGTGGTTTATACTCTGATAAACGTAACCACGGCTGAGACTTCTTTATTTGTTAAACATGTTAAATATATGACATGCATCGGTGTGAAAACAAAAACAAACAAAAAATACTTACTGTACATATATCCTTTGACAGGAGCAAATGTAAAAAACACGACTGAAACCAGAATCCAATTAAAATATCATGTGCTTTTAATAATCATTTAATAATCTTTTAAACACTCGAAGATAAAATCCGTATATCCGCGCGTCCATGTAATATCCTCTATACATATATTACAACATACATTATTACTGAAAAACTTTTTAAGGAGTATCAATAAAGTTTGTATTGTACTGTAATATAGTGTTATTGACTGGGGAGGGCTTAAGGAAATATTTAGTGGACTCGAGGTCCGTACAAATTACCTGACAGCCAAATATTTTGCCGTTCGATCGGTCCGAGCACACTGAGTCATAAGCCTGATTTTATCAAACATGATGCAATAAAAAAAGCCAGAACATTGACTAAACACCGGCGTTAAAAGAGCGAAAAAACAGAAAGCGTGCGCAATCTCATCACATTTCTTGTTGGCTTTCCTTTTGAGATGTGGGAGGGGCAGGTAGGACTTGGATCAAAGTCGCACAGTCAACATTTGTKGATTTTTTTCGATCCTTTTATAAGAGAGCGTGTCTGGGAAAATACGGGGTCATATGGTAAAGCTCCTTTTCTAGTTTTTCTCATGTAAATAAAGCGAGTAACCGCTGTTCTATTTGACTGCAGACTCTCTTACGCAAATACCCGAAAGACAAAAGTAAACACGAAGAAAATGTTGTCCTGCATTTATAATAGCGCTACAAATTGTACAAATTAGTTACAATTACTTTCAACCACAAGCCTTCTAAAATACTGTAACAGGATTAGCCAAAATGCTAAGTATAACGTACAAAGAATTTACATCAACAATTAATTCAGCGACTGAAAAACTGTTTTTTTCTGGAAAGTCGAATTTCGCTATACAATTAAAACGAAAAGGCAATTTGTAACATTCAATGTTGACTCGTTAAGATTATACTAATATATGTTAAAAAATCAATAAAATCAATAAATCAATAAAATGTTGATAATGATTTACTCTTAATCAATCTCAGTTATAATAGAGCTACACACCCGTTTTTAGCATATTTAATATAAACAAAACGACCTCAACAATATATTCTCGTACTCATTAATCATTCATAAGGTATCAAGCCAATGGGGCCCAGATTGGAATTTGTACCACCACGTGCAGTAACTGGAAACCAGAGGAAGTACTCCCTACTACCTTGCATTCTACCTTATTTCCAGTTACGTCTACATTGTTTCCAGTCACTTCTACCTCATTTCCAGTTACTTTTAACTTGTTTCCAGCTACTACTATCTAATAATAATCAAAGTATTAGAAATTATCAATTTAATATAGAATTAATTTAGTGGAAAAAGGTCTATGATACAGGACTCACGAAACGATCCCGAACCGTCCAGTCTATATGCGCCGTCTCTACCACAATTACACCGCCGAGTTTCTGATGCGATTCTTCGGAAGATAACATACTTATAATACTTATGAATTATGAGCATTTGGCAGCCATGAATAGCAGACAAAGGCAATTTGAAATAGATTTTGTTTCACAAAGCCGTTCGGGATTTGGAGAACAACAAACATGTATTCAAAATTATGAAAACTAAAAAACCTTGGTGGAGATGTAATAAATCAATATATTTCTGTTACGGTATTTCCTTCGTTTTTCACCCTCCCAAATAATTAATGAGTATGAGAAGTCGTTCAAAGTCCTCCAACTCGGTCTGGACGGGATTTCAAGTCCTCATTGTCGGATAGGACTATAGAAATATAGGTTGGTATAGTTACTAAGTATGCCTACGACGATTTCAAAAAGATCTTATCAGTTTTTCAGCTGAAACCCAGGTTTTCAAGAATTACTTGAGATTTTTTTTAATCAATAAAAGAACTAAACTCAAAATAGACTCCGAAACGATACCTGGGATTTACARTGTATCTCAGTGACCAAACAAACGAGCAGCAAGAAACGTTCAATAAAACTTGAGCTGAAGTTTCCAGGGGCCTAAACGACTCGAAAGCAACTTCAATTCTTTTGGCTAAGCAGCTAAACACAGTTCTACGTTGTTAGCTTTGTCGTAAAGCGAATTAATGAAATTTATGGCTGTCATGCTTGATTGGCCAAATGATTTCCAAAACTACAAAACACTGATGAAAAAAAGCAGATTAATCGTTTTTTCTGGCAGTCAAAATTGGAGTAAAGTTATTTTGAGCTATATAAAAACAACATGCTATACCGCTGATAAATATCGCATTGAACGTCAGAATAGTCATCATGTTCAAAACTGAATCGTTAGATAATAATAAGACAAACAGAATAACAGGCCTTAACATTATAAACTTACCATACAAAGAAAGCAAGAATTTAGTCTTACATATCCACATTATGGTGTGATATTGAGAGTCTACCGTCCAGAAAATGAGGAAATCAACTCCGCTGCATCTTTAGGACCGATTTGACGTCACTATTTTTAGAAAGGTAATTGATAATACCAGGTAGCCTGGAAACAAGTCCCCGAAAGTGTGACATGCAATGTTGGTAARAGTTAGCCTGGGCATCATCCAGCGTCGTTTATTTTGATTTTTAAAATAAACCGGTGGCAGGCTAGTACGACGGCTCACAAAAGCAAATAA